CTCGCCAGATCCCTATCTCTCACTAGACCCCTATCTCTCTCTAGACCCCTATCTCTCACCAGACCCCTATCTCTCGCCAGATCCCTATCTCTCACCAGACCCCTATCTCTCTAGACCCCTATCTCTCGCCAGATCCCTATCTCTCACCAGACCCCTATCTCTCTAGACCCCTATCTCTCGCCAGATCCCTATCTCTCACCAGACCCTTATCTCTCGCCAGATCCCTATCTCTCACTAGACCCCTATCTCTTGCCGGACCCCTAACTCTCGCCAGACCCCTATCTCTCTCTAGACCCCTATCTCTCGCCAGACCCCTATCTCTCACTAGACCAAACACGAAACCACTAGAGGAAAACATTGGGAAATGCTTCAGAGATTTCTTGACTAAGACCTAAACTCTGAGGTTGAAACAAACTAAGGTTCTCTGATTTCCTGCTATGGCTTAGTTACTAACAAGTGCATGGGGCAGAGAAACAGCCATCATCTTATGTTTTTCACCATCAGATCTTGCAGAATGTTCCCTGATTATGACTCTTAAAGAAAAAATTCCTAAATTCCGTACTGTTACCACAGCCTTTCTTTCTGGCACCTAACTTGCGAATTCACTTATCTCATAAGTCCACAGGCCTCCATGGACCCTCGGGCCCTGTGCACCGGTGCTGTGGAGACTCTTTCCTGCCAGCCCAGTCGGCCAGACTGACAGTTGGGGTCCTTGAGGGTACCACGTTCTCCCTCCTCAACTCCACCCCACCCCCACTCCACTCTCCAGCACAAGCTTAGCCACTCTTCAGTTTTAAGCGCAGACATCCCTGGCTCCAGGTTAGCCCCTTTCTTTAGCCACGCACCCATGCAGTGGCTCCTTCTGCTTCTGTAATCCCGCTAGACTTTAGCTCCAAGAGGGCGAGTCCAGGTCTGTTTTATTCACAGAGTCTTTCTCAGGGTCTAGCAGGCCTTGGCTTATAACACCGGCATTCTGCAGTGTTTTCCGAACAAATGAACCTGAATGGGAGTAGAAAACCCTGGCCCCTCAGCTCTGTCTTAAGATCTCAAAAACCATCCAGAAGGTTTTTGTTCTTCAGCTTGTTTACCCCTCAATGCTCAATCCCGTCTATCCCTCTTGTAACGTTCCCCTTTGTTCATTCATCTGACACGTGGGGGGTGGGGAGGATCATCTAAACGGGCCCACGGTGAGCGATGACTTTGTGAGGACTTTGTTTGTGGTGTTAGATAACATGAAAGTATACTTGGATTTTTGTTGGTGGTGGTGGTCAGATTTCTCTTCTTTTCTTTCTTTCTTTTTTTTTTTTTTTTGAGACAAGAGTCATATTTTGTCACCCTTAGTAGAGTGCAGTAGAGTCACAGCTCACAGCAACCTCAAACTCTTGGGCTCAAGTGATTCTGTTGTCTAAGCCTCCAAGTAGCTGGGACTAACAGGTGCCTGCCACAATGCTGGCTATTTTTAGAGATGAGGTGTCATTTTGGCTCAAGCTGGTCTGGAACCTGTGAACTCAGGGCAATCTACCCACCTCAGCCTCCCAGGGTGCTAGGATTACAGGTGTGTAATGTATCCCATTCCACTATGCCCGGCCTTGCTAATCAGCTTGTGTTAGAGTTTGTGTATTTACTGTGTAGCCCAAGACAATTCTTATTCTTCCACTGAGCATCAGAAAAGAAAATATGGACACCTCTGTCAGATATAGGATTCTTTCTCAGGCTTTGGTCTGCCATCTTCTCTGAAAGGCAAACTGAAAGATATATTTTTACTTCTACACTGTTTTTCCCAAGGAGATCCTTGTAAACTCTGTTTCAGATCTTCTCTGAAAGGCAAACTGAAAGATATATTTTCATTTCTACACTATTTTTCCGAAGGAGATCCTTGTAAACCCAAGGAGATCCTTGTAAATCCTGTGTGTTTTCTTTTCTTTTTTTTTTTTTGGCAGGGGCCAGGTTTAAACCCACCACCTCTGGTATATGGGGCCAGCGCCCTACTCCTTAAACAACAGGCACTGCCCTAAACCCTGCTTTTGTAGGGAATAGTTCTCAAGGACCCCAAGGTCTGCTCTGACCTGGCTGGAGAACACGCCCTTAGGCTACCACTCTTGGTGGCCAAATTTGTCACCAGGAAGAGAGATTGGCTGGTAAGCAAGACCAGGCCAGCTTGGAAAGATTTTTAAAAAGTACTGGGCGCCTTTTAGCTTATAACTGGCTGCTGGCTTTGCAAAGCTTTATGAAAATAATCACAGTAGAGAAAATCGACATGAAAATTTAGTAACGAGTAAGATATATAACACAGATGAACCTAAAAACTTGAGAAAAATACATACAAATTTAAATACAAGAATCTTTAATTACAGTGCTATCAATTCCTCTGCACCTGAACAAAATTATAACAAACAATCCCAGGAGGAGACAGACAGTCTTGATTCACTTTTTTCTGGAAGGAATTTTTGTTGTTGTGAATCAGAGGCATGGAAGAATTAAGAAATTTCTCCAAGTTTATGAGGGGAGGGGGCGGAAGAGCCAACATTTGAACTCAGGAAATCTAATTATAGATTATATGCTTTTAATCACCAGACTACACTGCCTCTCATATTTCACATACAAACAGATGTATAACAGTTATAGTTTAAAAATAACACGAACAGCCACATACTTGTCTGTTTTCTTTCAGTCTCTCTACGCCATACTCTGGATTATATATTAGATCAATTTTCTAGTTTACCAATATTCTCTTCAACTATCTCCAATCTGTTTAATTTATAACAATTTGAATTCCTAATTTTATGTTTTTCATTGCAAGAGATTCCATTTTACCTTTAGAATTTGCTTAGTTGTCCCTGTTCATGGTTATCCTTGCTTATATTTTCAATGTTTTTTTAAAAGACTTCTGAAGCATGTTAAAATAGTTATTTATATTTTTGATGGATACGTGCTCTAATGAAGGACTCTAGGCCCCACTCTGCTGTCTCTGTTTTCTGCTGGCTTTTACTCATGGTGACTTGTTTCTTTGTGTTCTAAATAAAGCTGCCTTTCTCCGGAGGTTATTTCTGTTCATTTCTGAGAGTCTTCTAGGGTTGTTTAGGATTTCTGTGCTGCCACCACACTATAAAGAAATACTCAATCTTTCTCTCCTTCCCCCAGACAGTGTTTCCCCAAAGAAACAATTTTCCAGTGGCTGAATATCAGTGCTGGGGAGCATTTGCCATTATCCTCATTGGCAGGATCAAAAATTAGATTATTCCTACTTTGGAGACTATAAAGTAAATGTGAGAAAAACATGCTGCTAAAATACCTAACAAATCAAATTCTTTACCATTTTTATCTAGGTTCAACTTAAGGAGGATCTTTTTGAGACATAATCTCATTTTGTTGCCCCAGGTAGAGTGCTGCGGCATCACAGCTCACAGCAACCTTAAACTCCTGGGCTCAAGAGATCCTTTCACTTCAGCCTCCCGAGTAGCTGGGATGACAGGCACCTGCCACAACACCTGGGTATTTTTAGAGATGGGGTCTTGCTCTGGTCAGGCTGGTCTCGAACTTGTGAGCTCAGACAATCCCTCTGCCTTGGAGTCCCAGAGTGCTGGGATTATAGGCATGAGCCACCACGCCTGGACGTCAAGGAGAATTTTTTTTGGCCAGGAAAGTATCTTTAATAAACAAGGTTCTTCTCCATTTAGGTTGCTGAACCATCTAGGTCAGCCTGTAAATCATGAGTGCTGAGAACAGCACGATTATTTAGTTCAGTCATGCCACGCAAGACGGCTTGAGGAATAGCCCTGCAATCACAGAGGCACACAAACCTGTGAGGATCGTCCGGATCACAGTTAGGAAGAAACTGGGTGATGGCTTCGGCTACTTCTTCATTGGACAGGACATCCCAGAGCCCGTCGGTGGCCAAGATCAGGACATCATCTGCTCCGTGCTCGTATTTGGAGAGATCGTAGACTCTTACCTGAAAAGAACAGGAATACTACTGCTTAAGAATCAAATTGACTTCTGACTCTCCTTCCCTTTTCCTGCCAAGCCTCTGGTTTTTAGGTATGCATCGTAAGGTACTTAATTACACAGTGAGCTTTGTGGCCTGTCTCGGAGACCTGTTCTACATAGGGAGCCCAAAACCCAGCTGTGAACCAGCCTAAGAGGAGGGCTAATAACTGACAAGGAAGAAACTAATTGGGAACAAAATGCCTGAGGAATAGTGGGCAGGATGACTACCAGGTGGATACTGTGCTAGGCAGAGGGTCAGCACGGGGCTCACCTGCTGGTCTCCCTCAACGTGTTAACTCAGCAGATATTCGTCAAGGGCCTACCCTGTGCCAGATGCTATAAATACAAGGAGCAGTAACAGATTTTCCTGCTGCAGAAGAGCTCCCAGTCTGAGGGGGAGATAAAGCCAGTTTAACATTAACTACTTACGAACTACTCTGTATGTCTTTGTCTGGGACTGAGGACATGGACTTTATTAATTCACTCACTTGAAACCCTTCTTGCCCTGCTGGCACTGAGGCCCAAGTGGCCAGCTCCTCTCCCGTAAGGATGGGGCTCTGACACCACACTCCACACTGAGTTTGGGGAGCCCCCCCGGCCACGTTACAGAGGACACACGCTCAGTGTGTGTGTCACTGTCTTGACAACCCTTAAATCTTTCCTCATCTCCAGCACCTTGGTTCACTTGGCTGTTCTAACAGGAACCTCAGCTCTTTACAAAGAATGGAGCAGCCTTGGCAAAACTAATAATGAAAATTGAGCCTCATTTGGGACAGGCCACAACTCCAGGCTCACCCTACTTTGTTGGGGGCAGGGGGTACAGGGAGGAGCAGAGTCTGGGGTTTTACTGCTGTCCTTTTCTAACTTGGCAGAATCAACCCGGCTCACACCACTTCATGAACCAAGGGCAGGGCAGGTCCATTTAACCAGCCTGCTCCAACCCCATGCCTTCTGCTGTCCTGTCTCTCAGAGTCTGGGAGAAAGCTATGAGGCAGGGGAGAGAGAGACGGGGGAGCAGTCCTGCTCCCGGGTCCCCTCACACAGCTGCGGTTATATCACTGTGGGCCTAGAGACTGTTTGAATCCAGCTCTTTGAGCTGCCCTCCTGCTGCAGGAAGGTTTGCCTGGGCTAGTGAGGAACTCCTGTGGGTCTGGGCCCCAGGCTAACAGCCTGCGCCCAGCGGCAGAAAACCACAGCAAGCCCACTCTTGGAGCCCGGGTGCGTGAGCTCAGAAGCAAAGCAGCGCCAGGTGCCAGCCCTCTGTTGCCTGCACACTAGGTGATGGAGATCAGCTGAAGCCCAGGGCGTAACCCTGATCGGGGAGGAGCCCTTGGGGTGTGCCGTCCCGCCTTTTAACATCTTTTTTTCAGAGGGTATGTTCACATAGGCTAAGAGGCTAAGCTTAATGTTCTGGAGAAGGTACTGAGACTCATGAGCCAAGTTAAGGAGAACAGGAAGGGGGAACTTAAGTTTCCAACAGACCAGAGAGTCCCAGAATTCTATCCTTAGGCCACCAGCGAATGTGGTCCGATTCTTTATCAGAAGCAGCCAACCCCTCTGGTTTCTTTTTCTTTAGAGACAGAGTCTTCACTTTGTCACCTTTGGTAGAGTGCCATGACATCACAGCTCACAGCAACCTCCAGCTCTTGGGCTTAGGTGATTGTCTTGCCTCAGCCTCCCGAGTAGCTGGAACTACAGGCACCCACCACATCAACCACAATACCTGGTTATTTTTTTGTTGCAGTTTGACCGGGCTGGGTTTGAACCTGCCACCCTCAGTATATGGAGCTGGTGCTCTCCTCACTGAGCCACAGGTGCCACAGTTTTATTTTCCTGGCTCCTGGGTCTGGTAGAGCAGGTGCTTCTCAACTATGAGCGTATACAGAGTCAGAGCTGGGCATGCTGTCCAACTACAGACTCTAATTCAGTTTGGGTGGGAGAGGGGTTGAAGCCCAAGGGTCCAGCTCCCTCCCAGGCGATGCCAAGGCTGCAGGCCCAAGGACCAACTTCCAGGAGCCAGACCTGAGGACTCCTACTGGGCCAGGTTTGTAAACAAAGGAATCAAAGGCTCCGACTCCAGGATGCCTGTGTAGACTGTTCCCTGGAGCAGGTAATAGAGCAGACAGAAAACTGCACCCCTAGGCCCCCAAATTCAAGTCCAGGCTCTCACTGTGTGGTTATTTCAGTATGTAACAACTCCGCTTCACAGAGACAGCTAGCTTTGCATGGGGCGTATCTACCATACATTTCTGGGAAAATCTGGGCTCTGAAGTACAATAAATACTAAATAACAAGAGGTGGGGAGATGTGTGGCTGTGATGTGACCCGATCTTACGCTTGTGACTAAACAGGAGATTCCATTTGCCTTCCTGCTCCTTCTAAAAGAGAAGTCTCCATGTCTGCAGATGATGCCCATTCAGCCCATTCAATTTCAGAATCTGCCCTGTGTGGAGGTGCTGAAACCACTTCAAAAGTGCTTACTACTGACCCAAGGAAGGTGACAGGTGAGTTGTTCAGGCTGAAGTTGTCCTGTCCACCACTCAGATGGAAATCCGGCCACCAGGATGGTGTGGGTTGAGACACACAAGCATGTTATAAAACGCTGTCCTCCAATTGCATCAATAAATGCAAGCCTTCCTTCCCTGGTTCCACATTTCCACACTTAGCTCCCTAATGGAGTTTCATCAGGCCGCATGGAAATCCCTTTCAGTACCATTCTCTCTCTTTTTTTTTTTGAGACAGAGCCTCAAGCTGTCCCCCTGGGTAGAGTGCCGTGGCACTACAGCTCACAGCAACCTCCAACTCCTGGGCTCAAGCGAATCTCCTGCCTCCGCCTCCCAAGTAGCTGGGACCACAGGCGCCCGCCACAACGCCCGGCCATTTTTTGGCTGCAGCTGTCATTGTTGTCTGGCGGGTCCGGGCTGGGGATTCGAACCCGCCACCCTAGGTGTATGTGGCTGGCGCCTTAGCCGGTTGAGCTATAGGCGCCGAGCCCAGTACCATTCTCCATTTAATTTTTATGTAAATAATAAAATGATCACAACTCCGTTCCCTGAGGCGCTCCCCAATTAAAGACCTTTTAGGTTTTATTGCTATCCTTTGTTTCCTGCCCTTTAGACAATTTCCAAAGGTCTTTGCCAACTTTCCACTTAGAGCTTGTGTCTTATACACTAACCTGGGATGCAGAACATTTCCTGAAAATGCTTTTGGAAAATCTGGACTTCCCTGCAAGTCATCCCACTGCTCAGCCACCCTCCCTGCAGCGAGGGCTTCAAAGGATCCCAACTGGCTCCGGAATCCAGACCTCCCCCCCTGAAGCTGTTGGCTCTTTTCAGTCAGACCTCCCCAGTTCTCTGCTCAATCCTTTCAGTGGCTTCTCACTGTTGCAGGAAGCCTCATGTCAAATGAAGGGGCCTCTGATGTTCCCCAGGGCTCAGACGCGGGAGGAGGGTCTCTGCAGGCCTGGAGGGGCCAGGTGCAGCACAGACACTGGGGGACATGGTCAGGGCTTCCAGCAGCTCTCTCCCATGTTGCCATCAGCCAAGAAAGGACAGAAGCATCCTTGGGATTCTTGGAGTTTCTCAGAGCAATATAACTGAGCGGCTGAGAAGTGGGGCCTGGACAGACCCACCTGCCCTCCTGCTGCCTCTGTTATGGATTTATCAAGCATGTGCCGCATGCCAACGTTTCAGCATCACGGATACAGTGAACAAAAGCAACACTCTCACAACTTCTAAACTAGTAAATGACATAGAGACACAAATAAATTACAATGTCAGAAAAGAAGTGTTCTGAAATGAGATCCAGCAGGGTAAGCAGGGCAGTGAACAGTCAGTTTAGAGGTGGTTGGTGGGCTTCTCCGGGGAGGCGCCGCCTACACGTCATGGGCATGTCAGGGGATTTCCCGTAAGTTCCTGCTTGCATTCCCTCTCTCCCTCTCCTTCCTTCCCCCCTTCCTTCCCTCCCTTCCTCTCCTTCCTTCCCCCCTCCCTCTCTTTCCTCCCCTCCCTCCCTCCTCTCCTTCCTTTCCCCTTTCTCTCCTTCCTTCCCCCCTTCCTTCCCTCCCTT